CTGTCGACGCAGCTGCTAATTTTATCCGCCCCCAGCCCTGGCCCGGGCGTTAATTGGCTGCGGCTTCATTAGCAGTTCTCAAGCTCAGCCCCACCACCCCCCGCCTCCCCTCGGGACCCCTGACTGGGGAGAGGGAGGAGGTACAGACTAGCTGAGGCACAGAACGACACCTCGTCTTCAGCTTTTCTTCGCCTTGAGTCCTGGGTCAAGGTAAAACTGGAAGAGAGCAGTGTTCTCCAGAGCTCTGATTGCCCACTGGCTCCAGTGGGAAACTGAGTCGGAGGTGAGTCTCACCCAGACACACCTGGGAGTGAAAAGTCAGTATGAGGAAAATAAATAGGTGATGGATGGATGGATAACAGGATCAACTGAAAGGAAGAGGAAGGTGGGAAGTGGTTCTGGGTCAGAGATTATAAGAAGGAGAGGAACCCAGCAGACTCCCAACACCAAGCTTATTACTGGAAAAAGCTGAAAGCACCTGAGGCTAGAGTGGGAGGGAAGGAGGTTAGAGCTAACTAAGGGGGGACTTCTGAGGCCTGATATGAGAACCAAGTGGGAATGACTGGAATTAGCAAGTTAGCCCATCTGGGCCTCAGTTTCCTCCCTTGTAAAGCAATAATAAAATAGCGTGTTCTGGAGATTAAATGAGACTTTGCAAGTGAATAGGCTTCGTGACGGATTGTCCTCCCCCTCTTTGACTCACAAACCTATCTCCTCCAATCACCATCCTCTCCTCTTCCTCCCCTTGCTCTTAGGACATCTGGAAAGCTGGGAGCAAAGTAAGGTGCCTCTGCCTGTAATTGCATTTGTTGTTCACCTCTTGATGGACCGGCAGTCAGTGATCTATTCTGATATTTCCACAGCTATGGCATGCCTAGCATGGTGAAGGGGCGCAATGTGTCTGCCGAATGAATGAATGAATGAATTGTAATGTTGTAAGGCAGTGGTTCTCAAATTCACTGCTTATTAGAATCACTAAGGAGAGGTTTTGTTGTGTTTCAGCGTGAGTGGGCAAATGCCCATTCTTTAAGATCCATTGGATTAGAACCTCTGAGGAAACGCTCCCTACTCATATATTTATATCACATTTCCCAGCCAATTCTGATGTCCAGGTTTGGGAACCTACTCCTGGAGGGATCGATGAGTCCCTCCCCTAAAGGATGAGTTCAGATGAAGTCAGGCTACAAGGAAGATCCCTTCCAGCTCCAAGGATCTATAGCCCTAGGATACAAAGAGAGCTCCGTGATTGCTGGAGCAGCAAGAATGAATTGGTAACAAAATTCAGCAAGTGCAAGGAAAGGAGGGAGCACCTCAGTCAGCTCCCGGATGTCCCAGGGAAA